TTCGCAGCCCGATTCGTAACCACTACGCTACTACTAGTTCATTTACATGTTATTATGTTTTCTAGGAGTCTATAAAAATAAAAGTCAGCTGATTCTGTAACAAAATTGCAAAATATAACGTTATGGCAACAGATTCCACGCATGTCGGGTCTGTTGTTCCAGACTCCAGGGTGCCTGGGATTGAATGTGGTATCTACTGACAGCCCATGAGAGCCAGGTGTATAGCCTCAGCCCACCCTGCAGAGTTCCCTTGCGGAGCCCAGTCCAGCGCCCAGGAGTTCCAATGTGACCAGGGACCACCAGCCAACAACAGCATCACTGGGACCCCAAGAATCCAGAAAGATGGGCAATAACCATCCTCCTTTAATACAAAACCCCCCAGAGTGGGGACATGTAGCATTTATCCACTCTTTGTCAGATCTGAGCTCAGATGGAAGCGATTGGAAAGGGAGAAGGGAAAAGAAAATCCATAAACTCCGGAGTAAAATGGAAACCACTATTGAGAGGTCAAGGGTGGGATGAGGGTGGTGAGGTGGAATAAATAGGCATCAGACCTTGAGATCCAGCTGAGGAATGAGCTGAATGAAAGTCAGCTGATGACAGAAGGGGAACCATCCGAAGCTGAGAGCACTGACGAAGAGACCAAGGGGCGGACCCTGAAGACAATGCTGCTCAGTTCCAGACCACCACAATCAACTGAAGAGCACAGCCAAGTGAACTGCACGCACGATGGGATTTCCCTGTGCCGCTACAAGTGACGCGGACACAGACTGTCGTCTATGAAGTGGGCAATCGCAGGATGACAAAGTCTGAACTACAGTCAGAATGACCAACATGAGACACAGAGACAGTACACACTGTTGGAAGAAGGCACCAACAGACTTGCTCAACGGAGGGCGGCCACCAACCTTCACTTTGTAAACAATACAACCTCTGTGAAGCTCAGTAAAGCAAAGTGCCATAAACCGAGGTGTGCCTGTATTGAATTTACAAGTAAAACAGACCCAGAACGAGGAATGTTTCATTCTGCGTTCATGAGACGGAGCCAACAAAATCGCCATCAATTTTAGTCCCCAAGGACCTGTGATGTGCGGCTTGTTCGGTTGGTCTATACTTGATGGAGAACATAAAAGGTAAGAGTTGGGAGGTTGTGGAATGGAGCTTCTTTTAACATGACTTGGGGTGTCTTACTTAGACTCTATTGTTGTTGCGATCCACTGCCGTTGAGTTGGTTCAACTCACAGTGACCCTGTCAAGGGTTTTCGAGGTTGTAAGACTATGTGGGAGCAGAAAGGCTCATCTTTCCATTAATTGTTATAAACGTGCTTCCAGGAGGATCAACATTTGTCAGAGTCAATAAACAAAGAAAACTGAGAAGAAAGACGCCATGCAAGGGCTTTTAACTTTCCTCACACAATTCATCAAGAGGAAGCCACTACAGAAGTTACTGTGGATTTTGCCACTTAGCTATGGTAATGTTTCTCAACCATAAATCTTCCTTTTGGAATTTTTAGTGGCAAATTTTCCAATTGTTTCACCCCCCACCAGGAATAACATAAGCCATCGAGCTAAATTATTGGGAATCCTCAAGGATAGGAGTCTCTGGTCATCGAAGGTGGAACGCAAGGGCAACGAGCTGTGCTTCTGGAAACTTATCTGCAGGCTGAAAATATTTTAAAAGGAAACGTTGAGTCTAGATCTAGTTGAGGTAGTGGGCCCTTGGTGTTCTCACTAAATGGAAAGAATGCTAGATAAAGAGGCCCCAGGTTCTAATCCCCCCTCTGCCACCAACCAACAATGTGACTGTCACCAATGACCTGGGTCCCAGTCTCTTGGCTCTAGGGCTCTCATCTGCCAAACCTGGAGCTCAGAATACAACCCCCCCCCCCCGCCAAAGTCCTCCCAAGAGCTAGACCACTTCAGCTTGTTGGTTCTACACAATAAGCCGTTTGGCGATTTGCTATCAACTACCTGTTTCTTGGTCACGGTGCCATCCACAGGGTCTACATATTCGAAGCTGTCTGTCTTGGAGACGCTGTAGACGTGGCTCCCCACAGCGAACTGCTGTCCGATGAAGGACTTGTCCGTGACCAAGGCCTCCAGGTCCCTCATGATGTAATATGTGGTCTTAGGGTCCAGAGCTTCGTAGTCAAACCTGGTGAGGAAGACAAGATTCAGGATGAGCAGAAACCCAGCCACACAGCCAGCAACTGGGTGGACCTCTCGGGCCGTCCCATCGCTGGTCTCCTCTTCATGGAAGCATTTCTCAGGTAAGCACACTCCCGGGTCTTTCCACTTCCACATAGCCCTGAACATCCACTCTCCCCCCAGACATATCTTGTGAATATCAAGTCATGTCATTGTTTAATTTAAATATCTCCAGTGGCTGCCCATCACGTGGAGAACCAAACCCAAAAACTCGACCACAGTCCACAAAGCCACCTCTTTAGCTTGACATTAGTCACTGCACTTTCCCCTGGCCCCATGGGCCACCTTCCCAGTCCTCAAAGACCATAATCTCTGTCCTGTCTCTCCCAGGCCTTTCCTGTTGCTGTGGGTTCTCTCTAGCTGGTCTGCCTTTCCCCAGCGATGCAGATAGCTCTTCCTTCAAACCATGTATCACCTCCAGAAAGGGACCTTCTCTGACCCCCTATCTGCCATCACCCTTTCTACTTTCTCTGGGGAGGTGTCCCAACCTGTTTTGCTACTGTATTTGTTTCCTTAGTCATTGTCTGTCTTTGCTCAAGAGAACGTGACCCCGGGAAGACAGACAGCTTGCTTTCCTCGTTCACGGCAGCTCTGACACACGTTAAGTGCTAGATAAGGAGCACTGGTGGTGCTATACAATAAGCACTGGACTGTTAACCTCAAGGTCAGCAGTTCAAACCCAGCAGCTACTCTGTGGGAGAAAGATGAGGCTATCTGTTCCCATAAAGATTGAGTCTCGGAGTCGGAATGAATTTATGGTAGTGAGTTTTAGAGTGAAGGATGGAAGTGAAGGGAGGTAAGAAGACAAGAAGAAAAAGCATTCAGAGAAAGCAGGATGAAGAGAGGGAAAGAGAGAAGGAAGAATGGAAGGAAAAAGGAAGAGAGAACAGATGGGGAAATGATGCGGGGGAAGAGGGAAGGACAGGAAGGAGAGAAGGGAAGGAAAAAGGAAAGAAAAACTGTTAGAAGGGAGGAAGGAAGGAATCAAAGGGGAGTTAAGCACATCCTCAGACTCTCCTGGAAATTTGGAAGACGTGTCACCATTGTGTCCCTTTAGAAAAAAAAATGATCCTGACCCAAACATCATCTGGATCATTTGGGCTGGGAGGAGCTCAAAGGCTGGCTTCGTGTGGAGTTGGGGTTCCACCTGCTAGCTGTGTGGGTGCAGCTCTCCAGCCCAGTTTCCTAATCTGCAAAGACTGAAACAGTACCTCACTCAATGGAGGCGGTGAGGTTTGAACCGTGGCATACAGAGCACACCCCGTCCAGCATCAGCATCACTCATCAAGCCTCCAGTGAGTGGCTGCTTTCAGATGACTGTGGTGAAGACCCCAAGCAAGACCTCATGGCACGCCTGGGGGCAGGGGTCTGCCTATGGATTAGCCCAGGCGGGGCCAACAGGCTTCCTGTTCCCAAGGTACAGAGAAGGATGTGAGCTTTCACAATGGAAGGAGGGTATTCTGAGCAATGGTGGCTACTTTTTCCACCCAACCTCATTTAAGATGTCCAGGAAATGTCAGAGTATTATCCAAAACCCACCTGGTGTGGTGCTGTGGAATAAACACTTGACCGTAAGGTCGGTATGAACCATAAGGTTGGTGGTTCAAATTCACCAACCGCTCCTCAGAAACCCTATACAGGGTCGCTATGAGTCAGAACCGACTCAATGGCACTTCACAGTAACAACCACCGGCGGCTGAGTGTTGCTAGAATCTATGTCAGCAGGATGTCAAATCCCAGCAGGGTCCCTCACAGTATACAGGTTTCAGTGGAGCTCCCAGACTAAGACAGAGTAGGAAGAAAGGGCTGGCCATCTGCTTCTGAAAACTGTGGTTGTGAGGAACCATCAGGGTGGCTCCCACCCGTGACCCCGTGCACAACAGAAGACGCACTGGCCGGTCCTGCGTCATCCTCTCAGATGTTGTGTTCGAGCCATCAATGCTGCCACGGTGTCAGGTTATCTTGTGGACAGACTTCCTCTCTTCTCACTGACCCTCCACTTTCCCAAGCATGACGTCCTTCTCCAGGGACTGGTCCCTCCTGACAACGTATCCAAAATCCATGAGACCGAGTCTCACCAGCCTCACTTCTAAGGAGCATTCTGGCTTTATTTCTTTCAAGACAGATTTGTTTGTTCTTCCGGCAGTCCGTGGTATAGCTAATATTCTTCACCAACTCCATATTCAAAATGGATCAATTCTTTGGACTTTCTTATTCATTGTCTAGCTTTCTGACGTGCATATGAGGTGATTGAGAATACCATGGCTTGGGTCAGGTGCACCTTAGTCCTCAAACTGACAAATTTGCTCTTGAACACTTTAAAGAGGGCTTTTGTAGCAGATTTGTCTAATGCAATACGTGGTTTGATTGCTTGACTGCTGTTTGTGAGCGTCTATTGTGGCTCCAAGCAAAATGAAATCTTCACAACTCAGCCAATGAAAAGCAGCTGGCTCAGGACAGAATAATGAGCATGGATGATTACTCCATTATGTTTTCAAGGATATGATCTCAAGGCCTGGCTTCTGAGGAGCCTTGAGGTGGGTTTGAACCACCAACTTTTCTGTTAGTAGTCGAGTGCTTAACTGTGTGTGCCACCAGGACTCCAGAGTCTCCTTAAAGACAGTCATTCTGGGAAGGTGACTTCCTAACCAAGCAGAAATCGTCAGGAGGATGGGAGAAGCAGGTTCTCTAGGACACTGAGTATGGAAGTTGAGAACACTCACAAATGCAATGAAATCTTGCCCAATCTGTAGATGACATCACGGGTCCTGCGTGTCCCTATCATCTTCATATACACCCCTGTCCTACATTTCCATCCCAAACTCACCACCACAAACTCTCCCCTCTGTCCACTACCCTCCTCTACTTTTCTGGGAGGAAACCTCCCTCTTGAGAAGTTCTCCTAAGATCTACCCCTGGGCAAGAAATAGACTAAGAGATTTTTCTCAGATACAACTTCAGGCTCTGAATCAGGGAAAATGAAATTATGCTATGATCCCTTCCATCCAGAAAAACTGTCAGAAATTGTGGTCCTTCACCAGTCTCCTTCAACTTGCTATGTTTTGAGATTCTGAGGAAAGGTTTATCTTCCATTTCATCTATTTCTTGACTTCCATGATGTTTCTGGACAGAGCGTTGCCAAAGCAAACATTCATGTCCTACAAGGACTTAAATCTCCACCGCATATTATTCTCTAACATGGTATTTGTTTTGGGGGAAAAAAATTGTCACGTAAGTTCTTGACCTTATAAAAAAAAAATAAAAAAACCAACTATCATAAGTACACTATCATCATAACACCATTTCTTCAAAACACTGGCAGAAACCTGGATAATCATTCTACAGAGTATGAGGAACTTGAACATCATGCGTCTAAGTGTTCTTGTGAAGCCAGAGGTTGGCAGGAGTGACCAGGCTTTATCAAAGTGTAGTTTTTGGAACAACTCTGTGCAAGAGAAGGATGTGATATGCTAGAAAGGCCAACAAGAATGAGAGGTTTCTGGAAACCCTAATGAGTGAAACAAGACTCCACCTGGAAGACAGTGCTTGTTTTGTGATAAAATGAAGACTTGGAGATGGCAGCCTTCACTTCAACCTTCGGGACTAAACAGGAACCAAAAACCGGATAGTGTCCTGTGTGTTTCCTCCAGAGCTGCAGCTTTTTGGTTTTAAGGTGTGATATTAATATTTCAGGAGAATCTGGTGTTTCTGTGGGCTAAGCAATGGGCTGCTGACTGCAAGGTCAGTGGTTCAAACCCACCAGCTACTGCAAGGGAGAAAGATGAGGCTGTCTGTTCCCATAAAGATTTACAGTCTCAGAAACCCTAGAGAGGGTCGCGAGAAGCTGGAGTCCTGGTGTGGCGCTGCAGGATAAGCATTGGACTGCTAACCATAAGGTCAGAAGTTCAAATCAACCTGTCACGCCTTGGAAATTCTACAGAGGGTCACTATGAGTTGAAACCATCTCGACAGCACTTATCAACATGAATTGGAATTGGCTCTGTGGGAATGCATTTGGTTTTCTCACAGCTTCCTAGAAGTTTCCCTAAGCAAATGACCTTGTAAGAGGGACTTTGAAGCAGTTCACTCAGGTTGGTGTCCCTGCTGAATCTCTGCATTTCCAGATAGATAGACTGAATCACAATCCACACAGTTGAACAAGATTTCCACGTGATTCTTGCAGACAAAGACATAAGAATCTCCAGAGAGGACCAGTTGGAGAGTCTGCTCTTAAAGCAAGAGACAAGCCTCAAACTCGAAACAAAAAGAACCAGGAATCCAAAACCAAGCTTAGCACATTCATGGAGTCAACTCTGACTCATAGCGACCCCAGAGCACAGCGTAGACCCGCCCCCCACCCCTAGGGTTGCCGTCTTTAAGGAAGCACTGCCCCAACTTTGTCCTGTGGAGGGGCTGGTGGGGGTTAGCAGTGGAGTGCTTAACCACTGCGTCACCAACCCTCCCTAAAATGAGCCACAATCTCCCAGTTTCTCACATAGTAAAGGCCTGAGGTGGTTCAAGGTTTCCCTCCTCCTCCTCAGCACTATGTTCTCCACAGTTAGCATCTTGCCTGCCACCTTTGTCTCCAAATCAGGTGCTTAGTACACACGCCCAGCACACCCAGCTACACACACCTCAGTACACACACACAGTACACCCGGGTACACACACCTCAGTACACACACACAGTACACCCGGGTACACACACCTCAGTACACACACGCAGTACACCCAGGTACACACACCTCAGTACACATACACACACGCCCAGCAAACCCAGGTACACACACCTCAGTAATCATGCGTAGCACACCTGGGTACATACACCTCAGCACACACACCTCAGTACACACACTCAGGACACCTGGGTACACACACTTCGGTACACACAGCCAGCACACCTGTGTACACACACCTCGGTACACACACTCAGCACACCTGGGTACACACACCTCGGTACACACACTCAGCACACCTGGGTACGCACACCTCGGTACACACAGCCAGCACACCTGTGTACACACACCTTGGTACACACAGCCAGCACCCTGGGTACACACACCTCAGTACACACACACAGTACACCCAGGTACACACACCTCAGTACACATGCCCAGAACACACATGCACACACGCCCAGCAAACCCAGGTACACACACCTCAGTAATCATGCGCAGCACACCCAGGTACATACACCTCAGCACACACACCTCAGTACACACACTCAGCACACCTGGGTACACACACCTCGGTACACACAGCCAGCACACCTGTGTACACACACCTCGGTACACACACTCAGCACACCTGGGTACACACACCTTGGTACACACACTCAGCACACCTGGGTACACACACCTCGGTACACACACTCAGCACACCTGTGTACACACACCTCGGTACACACAGCCAGCACACCTGTGTACACACACCTTGGTACACACAGCCAGCACACCCCGGTACACACACCTCAGTACACACAGCCAGCACCCTGGGTACACACACCTCGGTATACACACCTTGGTACACACAGCCAGCACACCCCGGTACACACACCTCGGTACACATGTTCAGCACATCCTGGTATGCACACCAGCACACTTTGGCACACACCTAGTACAGCTTGGCACACATACCTAGCCCACTTTGCTATGCACACTGTAGTATGTGCATCCAGCACATACTGGTGTACACACCTGGGTGCACACACCCAGCCCTCCTGTGCACACATATCTACCAGGTAGTTGTATGACCAGCAGACTTAGTCCCCACCCACTTCAGCAACAGGAAGGTGATGGGGCCGCCCCTTCCCCTCTGCTCCTCAGCACCGCCTTCTGGGGGGGGGGGGACTCCCAGCCATGGGCGGACTCTAGAGAGCAGCACTTTGAGCAATGTGGGGGAGGGGCAGACTGCACCCCACCTGCGGTCTGAGCCCCTCTGCCCTTCCTTGATGGCTAAGCGTGCTGCACCGTGGAAGAAAGTCTCTGTTGGGCTACATGAGTCAAAGGACAGATTCTGCAAGTCAGACTTCCTCTCAGGAGGTTACCTATCTGACCACCTGGAGTAAGGGGTCACCAGAGGAGGGTGAGTCTCTGTGTCCCCCAAGTCTCCCCAAACCATGCCTCTACCTCATGTCTTGCTGTTGTCACAGTCAGCCTCCAGTTCTTGGTGACCCCATGCACAATGGAACAAAATCATGCCACCCTCATGACTGCTGACAAATCAGACCATTCTGATCCATTGGGTTTTCATTGGCTGATCTTTGAAAGTAGATTGCCAGGCCTTTCTTCCTGGTCTACCTTAGTTCGGAAGCTCCTCTGAAACCTGTCCAGTATCCTAGCAACACACAGGCCTCCACAGATAGACAGGTGCACACGAAGTGTTGTTGTTGTTGTTAAGTGCTGTCGAGTTGATTCCGACCCATAGTGACCCTGTATAGGGTTTCCAAGGAGCAGCTGGTGAGCTTGAACCACTGACCTTGATGTTCAAACGACTTTGTAGTCTGACACATTAACCCACCGCTCCCCACACCAAGACTCCGCACATGAAGTGTAGTAGGCAGAAATCAAACCCAGGTCTCCCGCGTGGAGGGGAGAATCCTACCACTGACCCAGCACTCCTTCTTCTTAAAAGTCTACACCCTCAGTTTCAGAAGCCTTCTCCCAGCAACACCCACCAGAGTCCACATGGGCACCAACCTGCTCACCTACAGTAATTGGTGGTTATGTGCCGTGGAGTCAGAACTGACTCACAGCGACTCTGCACAGGGTTTCCAAGGCTGTAAATCTTTAAGGGAGCAGAAAGCCTCATCCTTCTCCTGCGGAGCAGCTGGTAGTTTCGAACCGCTGACCTTAGGGTTTGCAGCCCGATTCGTAACCACTACGCTACCAGAGCTCCTTACCTGCAGTAATAGTGGCGCCCAAATTTGGCCCAGTGGTCTCGGACGATCTCCTCCACACTCTGCTTCCGGGCAGCGAGGATGGACAGCCAAACCAAGACAGCCCATAGGCCGTCCTTCTCCCTGAGGTGGTCAGAGCCTGGGGGACAAAGAGACATGAAGCTGAAGATTTGTCTCTGGGGGGGACACAGATGCTAAATGAGTGAAGAAGACTAGTGATTGTATTTTTCACACAAATAACTCACACCCTCTAGTTAGCCTGCCAACCACTCCCTCCTTCCCCACCCCTGAGAGATTTTTGTAAATCCACTATGATGATTTTTTAACACAACATATTAAAAAAAAAAAAAAATTGGTATACTAGTGCCTATGAAAACACTTGGTGGGAGTGAGCAGCTGGCAAGCACACAGTGTAAAAGGAACATGTTATCTGCTTAAAAATCCAGAAATTTCATATTTAAGCTTGAGTGTTAACCAAAAAGTTTGGATACATGTACATATATGGTTGTTATTGTGGTTAAGTGCCATCCAGTGTTCCGACTCATAGAGACCCTGTAGGGGTTTCCAAGGAGCGGCTGGTGGGTTTGAACCACTGACCTTGTGATTCACAGTCCACTGCTGATCCTACAACGCCACACCAGGAGTCCATATTTACAAATATGCACCCATAATAGATTTGTATTTCCAAAAGTAGGCAATTGAAATTCAAATAAAATATCAAAAAAGTTTAAATTCTGAAAATAGTTAATAGGGTCAATGAGTACAGCTGACATCACATTTGCTCAGCGGTGTCATTCATTCATTCATTCATTCAGTTATTCATTCATTCATTCAGTTATTCATTCATTCATTCATTCATTCAGTTATTCATTCATTCATTCATTCATTCATTCATTCATTCAGTAAATACTTGGCGGTTGTTCTTACTGTTGCTGTTTGCCAGAGTTGGCCCCCGACTCCTGGTGGTCCCACATAGGAGGAACAAAATGCTGTACCGTCTTGACTACCTGTGGCCAGTTGCAAATCAGACCATGTGGTTCACAAGATTTTAATTGGCTGGTTTCTGGAAGCAGATCACCAGGTCTTTCTTCCTAGTCTGTCTTAGTCTGGAAGCTCTGCTGACACCCATTCAGCATCCTAGCGACACACAAGCCTCCAGTGATAAAAGGGTGGTAGCTACACATGAGATGCATGGGCAGGGAATTAACCACAAGGTTGGTGGTTCAAACCCACCAGGCGTTCCTCAGGAGAAAGATGAGGCTGTCTAACCCTGTCAAGATGTACAGCCTCAGAAACTCTCTATCAGATCACTGGGAGTTGGGATTGATTCAGTGACAGCGGGTTGTAAGACCACATACCAAGCACAGGACTGCTAAAACAGCAATGGATAAGATGTCTCTTAAGTCATCAAGCCGGAATTTAAGCAGGTGGAGACGGGCCACCTGCAGACAAGTGTGAGCACAAGATACCTCCACGCAGGATGGCATTAGGAAGGAAAGACACCTGTGGACGATGCCACAGAGCACAGCAGCTTTACCTGGGGAGGGTAGGTGTCAGCCCCACGGAGGTGAAGATGCCGAGCTGAGGGCCAACCATGGATGGATGGAACCAATCAATCAATGTTCAGAGTCAGGACTCAGAGCAAAAAGCATTTATTGAACATCAATACTCAGAAGAACAGAGAAGCAGAAATCTGTGTCTCTGAGGGAAAAAGGGGGAGTTTTATAGGAATTTTAGATTGGACGTAGGGGCCTGAAGGAATTTCAGAAACTGTCTGTTATCTGTTTGTTCAAGGCTCTGCTGATCTTCCTAGCCAAGCTGTCTCCAACCAGCACTGTTAACCTCTCCAAAGTGTGACTGTCAGTGGCCCTCGGAGACGCTGGTTCCTGTTCCCGCCCTTCCTGCAACAGGCCTCGGGTTATTGTATTGCTGTTAAGTGCTGTCAAGTCCATTCCAGCTCAGCGACCTTGTATACGGTCTGACTAATTAAAGAATTGGTCACTTTTTTTTTTAAAGGTTTTTATTGTGGATTGAGTGACAGTTTACAGGGCAGATCATCAGTTTTACATTCAACAAATCATACACCTTGTTTCATTACAATGATTATAATCCCCTCCATGTACCATCAGTTAACAGTATTTCTCTCTAGCTTTTTTTTTTTTTTAAACACCACCAAAGGTCACATTGTGTAAGCCTGCCACCTGGCCACCAGCTCTAAGTCCCTCTCTTTCCATGAATCTAGAGTCCTCAGCGGCTCCCTCTCTCCAAGTCCCCATCTCTGCCTCCATCTCTGATGTCCCTGCTTCTCTGGATAAAACTATTGTGTTAGGACAGCAGGATGGCCACTTAGACCTTCTTCTAGATTTTGCTTTGGTCAGGCTAAACGCTTTTAGCTCCTTAGGGTTTCTCGGTGCTCTGTTTCACCACCCAGAGGCACCGTATCCAAACAGGTCACAGTCTTCAAAGTAAGTTCACCATTTTGAAAACCCCTATGAAGTACCCTACTTCCTGGCCACACATAGCGCCACCATGCGTTGGAATTGAACAGAGTCGGCTAGATACCACCTGATTTGGTGTGTTGGTTTTCTAGGGGCAGGGAAGCTTTGGAATGAGGATTCACATTAAACTCTGAGACTTCCCATGTATGTGAGAAGTTACTGGTCCTGGCTTCATGTCTGTATAATGGGAAGACTGTCACCAACTTGCTGGACTGTCCTATCAATTTAATCAAGTGAAGGAGCAGGCTCAAGGGTCAGATGGCTCATGTTCATGTCCCGGCTCAGCCACATCATAAGTATGCCTTGCTGCTCTCACCTATGAAATGGGGACAATTCCTACCCACCCTCCCACAGGGTTGTGGTCAGGATGAAGCCAGTAAGTAAGCCCTGGTATTCAGAACTGAGACTGGGATATGCCAGAAGTTGCTGTTGATCTGATTGTTTGTAATTCACATAAGACACCAATCCACAGTTCCTCAGTCCACAGCTGCGACAAATTGCTCTCCATCATTTGCAAACATGTATTCTCCACTCCATCAATGGACTCTCTGGAGGATGCAAACAATCAACGTGCTTGTTAACTGAAAGGTTCGAGTGCATCCAGAGGCACCTTGGAAGAAAGGTCTGTTGATCAACATTTGAAAAATCTAATGCTGAAAACCCTCTGTCACTCAGCTCTACTCATACCTACACAGGGCCACCATGGGTTGGAACCAACTCAGTGACCACGGGCTTTACCCGAGCTACAGGACTCCGGGGGTGGTGCTGCAGGTCAGTATTGGACTGTGAACTACAAGGCTGGCAGTCCAAACCCACCAGCTGCTCCAATACAGGGTCGTTATGATTCGGAACTGACTTGATGGCCACTTAACAACATAGAGATGTCTGAAGAGCGCTTGTAACCTAGTGGATTACACTTTGGGCTGGTCACTGCAAGATCAGCAGTTCAAATCCACCAGCCATTCCACAGGAGGAAAATGAGGCTTTCTGCTCCTGTATAGATTTATAGCCTCGGAAACCCGGTACAGGATTGCTATGAGTCAGAACCACCATGCTGTATTGTTGTTGTTACTAAGTGCCGTCAAGTCGGTTCTGACCCATAGTGACCCTGTATAGGGCTTCCAAAGAATTGCTAGTGAGACTGAACCACCAACCTTGTGGTTCAAACTGACCTTATCCTATAGCGCCATGCCAGGACTCCTTACCACCACCATAGAGGTGGGTTAGGAAAGGCGACTGGAACTAGGGAGCAGACTGTGTCTTCTTGAAACAAACCCATTGCCCTTGAATTGATTCCAACACACAGTGACGTCAGAGAACAGAGGGGAGCGGTCCCACTGAGTTGGCATTGGTTCCTAGTGACAGATGGCATTGGTCCCAATGGCATTGGCTCCTAGTGACAGATGGAGCTGTCCCATAGAGTTGGTTCCTAATGATGTTACAGGACACAGTGGGGCTGCCCCACTGAGTTGGTTCCTAGTGATGTTACAAGACAGAGGGGAGCTATCCCATAGAGTTTCCAGGGCTGTAAATCTTTATGGACATGGACAGCCTCATCTTTCTCCCGAGGAGCAACTGGTGGACCCAACGGCCGATCTTGTAGTTAACAGCCCAACACTTAACCCTCTGCACTGCAACAGGACACCGAAAATGGACTCCTGGATTTTAGGGCTGTTGTGTGTATACAGACAATCAACACAGAAGACCAGTGTTATGTTGCTGTTAGGTGCCAATCAATTGCCCCACAGTGCCCCTCGTGACAGAGTAGAACTGCCCCATGGGGTTTCCTAGGCTGTCCTCTTTACAGAAACAGATCACAGGTTCTTTCTCCCACAGAGCCACTGGATGGATTCAAACCCCCAACCTTTTGATTCACAGTCAAGTGCTTCATCTTTGAGCTACCAGGGCTCCTTCCTTCCCAATGGCATTGAATTGTTTCACCCTTGAAAATGGTTTAAATTTTAACCTTGATAATGTTGTTAAGTGCCGTTGAGTTGGTTCTGACTCATAGCTACCCTGGATAGGGTTTCCAAGGAGCAGCTGGTGGGTCTGAAGCGCCGACCTTGCGGTCCAGTGCATTATTCTGCAATATCCCACCAAGACTGGAACCTTGATAACGGTGAATAATTTAACCTCGAGAGTGGTTGAATCCTTTAACTAAAACCCCTTTGACAACCGAAGAAGAGAGTCATTTATTCTGCTTGCTATTTTCAAGGTATTAAATGTTAAACAGCTTTTTCCTCAAGGAGCAAAGCATCCAAGCCTGATGGGCCCACTAGGAACTCTGATAAATGGTCTCTTCTGACAGGCTCAGATCTGTGGTTCGGCGGCCCTGGACTTTCATCCCACAACGTGGATAGATTCCAGCCTCATCCAGCAAACGCTAACACCGCTACAAAAATGGAAGAAATCTGGGAGACGCTTCACTGTATGTGCTTCACGGCCCAGGGCCAGAAAAACAAGTTGAGGAAACCCTGCCCAGTGGGAGCATTTCAAAACCTTTTGTCCTTTTATAGCTGAAAACATCTCTTTTATTTATTGGCTAGGACAAAATCCCCTTTTGTTCTAAACCTTGGGCTTTTCCTGCGTTGAGTCCCCTGCTGCGTGATTTTACCTAGAGACCTAACCATTCGATGCAGTA